AGATCCCGAATCTTGGGTTTTTTTTTAAATTAAAAAAAGGGGTGAGGGAGCTGTAGAAGAGGGAAGAGGCCGAATGTAGGCGCCACAGAAAGCCGATTCCCCATTCCTCCCCATTAAAGTGCAAGGTCCGATCAGTTACCCAAATCAGTCACGTTTACAACGCTCTCTCCCTGAAACTGATAGACGGGTAGGGACTAGAGAGAAACGAAAGAGTCAACAAGAATGCAGCGAGTTAACGAAATCCCAATCAAAACAGCATTGCCCCTGCATTAAGTCAGACCTACCCACCACACTGTCGTTAAGTGAGGAATTTAATACGCTCGATATATCTCACGAGGTGTCAACTTTGAACCAAAAGGAAAAAAAAAACCCAATGAGTATCTAACGATCGAAGTTCGCAAGGCACTAGGATCCTGTTCCCAGGTTTATGAAAGGAGGCAAAAAAAAAAAATCTATAAACCCTGACTCTTACCGTGTTGGCTGAAGAAATTCCGCCCAGGGAAATCAGAAACAGGACAGCCAGCGATTTGATTCCGAACATTCTGTCTCTTTTCTCGGAGTTTCCTGATTTGTTGTTTCGTCCTCTCCAAACGCTGTTGGGATAGTTCTCCCTCTCTTCTCTTATTTACTCCGAGTGTTTTGGACTGCCTTCCTAACCTCTTTTGGGTTACGATGTCCGATTTTCCGAAACTTGCGAATTTCCTCGTGCGTTTCACTCACAGGAGGAGCAACTAATTCAATCAGCTCAAACTCCAGCAGCAAAAATATTCCTGCAATAAAGCCCTGAGTGAGTCTTTTATATCCTTCTGCCTTTTTTTTTTGTCCCCTCCCCTTCAAACGTAATTTCAATACGACAGGAAATTGGGACTGGGCACGTCAGCGTATTGCGTGGAACCCCCTATACGCACACAAAAAAAACCCCTTGTCTTGAATTTATTTTCAGTTCCTGTCTTATTTTCAGCCTCAATTTCTACCTTTTTTTTGGAAGGGGGTAGAGGAAGGGCTCTTAAAAGTTGAACTCAATGAGGGGCAATCATACCAGAGCACCTGGAAGATGAGGAAGTTTCTTTAAAAGACAGACGAGTTGAGTTACTTCCTATAAATTAGCAGGAGGGGGCAGGCAGAGACGACAGTGATCTCACTCGCTCTCCCAGATTCTCTTTCCCCTACAGAAAAGTTTCCGATGACCTCTTGTGTTTCCCAGCGTCATATCCCTTCCCGTTCGCTCAAACCCCACACGGAGGAGTTTTATTTTGCTATACAGGGGCAAAATAAATATTTGAAAGTGCTAGGAAAGGTCAGCCGGCTTCATGTAGAGAGAGAAAGACAGCGTTGATGTTTGGAGATTGTGCTGATTGTTTAGGTTTTAAAAATAAGACACATATTGGACCCGAAACGTGAACCCAGTCCCAGAGATGAAGCACTCAAGGCTCTGGAGTTCGGGGTGATCCCGCAACCTTCTCTGTTAATGGATTAGGAATGCTTCCTGATGATAGATAAAAGCGTGATATAAAGCGACAAGTGTGTACATTTCGTCCTGTTTAACACCGCGCGGTTACCTTGGACCCTGGGCTTTGCAACAATTTGGAGGAACGAATCAAATGAAATGTTTCAGTTGTTGAGCAGATTTGTACCCAGCTCTGTGTGGCCAATCCCGATTGAGGTGCTGACCCATTCTCCTAGACCGTGCTGTACCTGGAGTCGTCTAAAGGCTTCCAGATTTTGGTGATGATGTTATGGAGCCGCAGGTCACTGGGCATAAATAGCACAGTATGGGCAGACTTAAAATGTTGGTTTGCAACAGAAACAGAAATTGCTGGAGAAACACAGCGGGTCATAGAGGCATTCAGCACAGAAACAAACGTACAGGTTCAACCAGTCCACGTGGAACATTATCTCAAACTAAACTAGTCCCACCTGCCTACCCCTGGCCCATACCCCTCCAAATCTTTCCTATTCATGTACTTACCTCAGTATATTTTAAACAGTGTAACTGTACCCACATCCACCACTTCTTCAGGAAGTTCTTTACACATGTGAATCACCCTCTGTGTAAAAAACTTGCCCCTCATACCTTCTTTAAATCTCTGTCCTCTCACCACAAAAATGCACCCCCTTGTCTTGAAATCCCCAATCCTTATCTATGCCCCTCATGATTTTATAAACATCTTTAAGGTCATCTCTCAACCTCCTACATTTCCAGAGAAAAAAAGTCCTAGCTTACCCAGCCTTCTTTAGAACTCAAACCTTCAATACGTGGCATTATCATGGCAAATCTCTTCTGAATCCTCTCTTGCTTAATAGTATCCGTCTCATAACTGGACACAGTACTCCAGAAGAGGCCTCACCAATTCTGAGAGCTTCTGCACAGTGTCATTTTTTGGGTCCAGTGACCCTTTATCAGAATGTTAGTAGCTAGGAAAAGGTGGTATGTGAAATATCTCCACAGAATCCCATCACCATGTCACCCTTTATTTACACATGGATATCCTTGATACTGATCCAGTTCTCAGAGTGAACAGAACCTCTGACACTCCTGTTCTTATCTGTTGGCCAGGGCTCCCTGATTGGACCAGATTAACAGCCCCAATCAGGGAACTCATTTTCAATGAGGTCCATGTGGCTGACTTCATTACAGTCGCTACAGTATATGTGCTGAAGGCGCGGAGTGGGGGCAGGTGGGTATAAAGGTGTGAGAAGACAGGTGGAGGTGGAGCCCAGAGGGAGAGAAAGACACAGACAAACAACAGACAGACAATGGTGTGCAATGAAGGAGAAAAGCTGATTATGGGGACCATAAATGGGAGAAAATGTGTTGGTTGCCTAAGTGATAACAAGGGTGTGGGGTTAAGGTTTAAAGTCATGGAATAAGGTTCTAAGGCCATAAAACTATCGAAATCGATATTGAGTCCAGAGGTTGCAGGATTCCTAAGTGGAAAATGAGATGCTGTTCTTCCAACTTGTGCAGAGTTTTACTGGCCTACTGCAGCAAGCCTGAGACAGAGATGTTGGCCAAGGGACACAGTGGTGTTTTGAAGTGACAGGTAACCGGAGGCTCAAGGTCACTTTTACAGAGAGAACGGATGTGTTCCACAAAGTACTTGTCCAGTCCATGCTTTGTCTCTCCAGTGCCAAGGAGACCACATTTTGAGCAGTGAATACAGAAGTTAGTTTGTTGGTTAAAATCCAACCATGCGAAGGATGGAGAGATAGAGGAAAACACTCTCACAGAAGCAATTGGAGTGGATCAACTAACATGAGGGGATGGAGTTTACAGAATAGTCTTTCAGTAATGTAACGGTAAGATTAGAGCCTGGTGAATCATCCATGTATTGTAGGATTTAGAATTATCATATTAAGACAGTGTTATAGAGAAGTCCTAACCTGAAGACAGTTCTTGACCATGACTTCTCCTTGACCAGTCTCTGTTGAACCTAAAAGAATGATTCTGGGTTTTAAAACCACACAATAAAAGGGGTAACACTCTTGCTTCTGTGAGATAGTCATCAGTTGAAATTCCAGTAAATGAGATTGAGCACAACACCTAGGCTGACACTATTGGACGGTAGTGATACTGGAGAATATATTAAACCTATCTATCCATCTCAGATGAACATAAACTATTGGATCGGGGTGAGATATAGGAAACATGGACAGCATTTTATGCACAGCAAGCTCCCACGCACAACAGTGAGCTAATGGCCAGATCCTATGTTCCACTGAAATTGACTAAGAAAGGGACATCTCGGAAAACTTATTTGCTCTTCTTTGGAATAGTACCCTTTGACCTGCTGCATCTGCCTGTGAGGGTAAATAGGGATCTTGCTTTAATGTTTCATGTTTCTTCAACGGCAGCCCCAATGACAGTGCAGCATTCCTTCAGTCCTGCACTGGAAATGGCAAATTGGATCTTAAGTCCTTATGACATAGGAACAGAAGTAGGCCATTCTGCCCTTACAGCCTGCTCTGCCAGGTTATTTCCTCTGTTTCTAGACCCTCCCCCAAGGAAAACAAACTTTCCACATCTACCCTGTCAAGTCTTCTAAGAATTTTAGCAGGTCTGGCAGCCTCTGTGGAGAGAAAGCAGAGTTAACATTTCAGGTCCAGTGACACTTCTTCAGAATTGGACCTGAAGCATTAACTCTGCTTTCTCTCCACAGATGCTGCCAGACCTGCTGAGTTTCTCCAGCAATTTCTGTTTTTGTTTCAGACTTCCAGCATCCGCAGTTCTTTGGGTTTTGTTTTTACCCTCTAAGAATCTTGTATGTTTCAATAATGTTGCCTCTCGTTTTTGTAAAGGCCCAATCTACAGAACCTCTCCTCATAAGGCAGTCCCTCCATACCCACGATCAGCCTAGTGAACCTAATTTGGATTGTCTCCAATATTAGTTTAACTTTCCTTAGATAAGAGGCCCAGAACTGTTCTCAGCGTTCCAGCTGTGGTCTGGCTAGTGTCTTGTATAGTTTTAGCAAGACTTCCTTATTTTGTATTCCCTTTCCTTTGAAATAAAGGCTAATATTCCATTCGCCTTCCAAAGATGAACTTGGATGCTAGCCTTTTTGTGGTTCATACATGAGGACTCCCAAACCTCTCCGTGCTGCAGCTCTCTGCAGTCTTTCTCCATTTATACTCAGGTCCTCTATTCTTCTCACTGAAGGGTATAACCTCATATTTTCCCAAATTATATTCCAGGTTTTTACCTACTTACTTAACCCGTCTATATTCCTCTGCAGACTCTTTATGTCTTCCTCACCACTTGCCTTCCCACCTATTTTTATGTCATCTGCAACCTTAGCTGTAGTAAATTCACTTTCTTCATCCAAATCACTCATATATATTGTAACTAATTGTGACCACAGCACTGATCCCTATGGAACTCCACTAGTTATAGGTTGTGATCCTGAAAATATCTCCCTTACCCCACCTCTCTGTCCTTTATTAGTTAGCCAACCCTCTATCTATGCTAATATGCCAACTCCAAAATCATATACTCTTATTAAGCAGCCTAATGCTTGGTATATTATTAAACATCTTCTTAAATTCTGAATATATTGCATCCACCACTGTCCCTTTCTCAATAAGCTTGCTAGCTCCTCAAAGAATTTTAATAAATGTGACAGGTATGGTTTCTCCTTCATGAAACCGTGCTTTCTCTGCTTGATCATGTTATTTATTTTTAAATGCTCCACTATTACATCCTTTATGATATACTTGAACATTTCCCAATAATGTTAATCTAACTGGACTAAAGTTACCTGACTTTTGGCTTCTTCCCTTTTTTTAAATAAAGGGGTTACATTGGCAGTTTTTCAATGTCTGGGACATTTCCAGACTCTTAAGGATTCTTAGAAGATTACTACCAGTGCTCTCTAGCTGCTTCTTTTAATATCCTAGGATGCACCTCATCAGGTCCAGGCGATTTATCGATCTTTAGTCTCACAAGTTTCCCTAGCACTATTTCACTAATGATAGATACTGTATTTATTTATTTCTTTATTTAGTCCCTTAATTAGATTGTAGTTTTGAAATGCTCCATGTCTTCTACTGTGTCTTCTACCATTTCCTGATTCTCCATAATTATTTCCCTAGCCTTGTTTTCTCAGGGGCCTATGTGAACTTAGAACTCTTGCATCCTTTTAAATTTTTTCCATCCATTCACAGGATGAGGGCGTTTCTAGCCAGGCCTGTGTTTATTGCCTGACCTAGAGGACAATTAAGAGTCAACCACATTACTGTGGGTCTGGATTCACATGTAGTCCAGACTACGTAAGATGATAGTTTCCTTTGCCAGAGGACATTTGTGAACCAGATAGATTTTTCAACAATTGACATGGTCATTGTT